TACTGAGCTGTAAAACCACCTTTGCAAATTAACTTGCTGGTTGCAGTTTTTCCAACCTTCTGCCATCAGCAGCTGCATTTCCCAACCCTTCCATGGGCTCTCCTCCTCTGACACTTTGCTCATCCTGTCTGATAATTGACACTGGCAACAGGTGAATAGAGATCTATGTTCTTAGCATGATGAAGCAGTACAATGAGTTACAGATCCAACAAATGCTGGAGCCAGGGAAAGATAAAGTCTAATAGCAAGGAGACGATTATGGCAGTCAGCTGTTAGACAGGCTGACGCTAGTGAGGTACTACATGATATTGCCTCAGGAGCAGGCTGATGTGTCTGTGGATTACATCACTCTTGAAAGAAGCACATCCTCCTTTCTGGGCTTGATTTCACTCTAATAGTGACTGTTGGCAGAAGACTGTTGAAAGGGGAGCCAATATGGAGTCACATTTTTTCCCACTCTTCAGCTTCTGCTGAAAAAAATTTGTATTGAATTGTGGCTTAACTTGGAAGCAATAGGAAATATTTCTCTGAGTACAAAAATAAAGGTTGGAAAACTGGCTGATGGAGAAAGATGTGAAAGTCAGATAGAAAAATCTGACAAGCAAGGGTAAGTGAAACAAAAGTGTGTAGTACAAAGTCTAATTAGGAACTAATATGATTTTTCTTTTATAAGCTGGGAAGTTATAATTGAAAGTGTCAGAGGAAGAGAGACATCTGGCTTTATTAGTCTCAGGGTGACTAAAGCCATAAATGTGACATGGCAATGAAAAAAGACAAGTGTAAAGACATATCAGGATGTATTACAGCATTTTTAGAAGTGGAAAGAAAATATTAAAGGCAATGTATATAGTACTGGTGGGATTTCATCTGAAATTCTGTTTGTAGTTTTGGTCACTTGTGATCAAAACATGAATTCTAAGAGTAAGAAGTTTGAGATGGGTAGCTAAAGCTGAGGAAATAGAAACTGTCTTATACAGGTATTATTAAAAATTCTCATTATTTGTTTCAGTGTAAAAAAATTGTGCTGTCTTTTTATTCTCCTAAAAGAGAAAGGCATTGACAGAGTGAGAATGTCTGATTAAGTTGTAGAACAATGTTAGCCAAAGAACAAATGTGTATACACTGGCAACGATGGTTTATTTGGTAGAAATGAAAGACAGTAACTATCTGGGAGTGAGATTCTAGATTAGAAGTAAATGTACTGGCTTGGTTCTTTGTCCTAGTCTATGAAACAACTTGATCTTTTTGTCACATGGAGTATATAAAATACATAATTCTAAAAGATGGAAATTAGATAGAAATCAAAAGGCTCTTTCTTTCTAAATTAAAGATTTTTAATCTTTCCCCCACCCTGTACTGGAAATACTAGAGGGTAGAGATAAAGAGGGAGAAACTGTGAATATGCCTCCTTCATAGGGAAAAGAAATTAGAAATAATCTCCTAATTATTATCCCTAGACACAAAGGACAGATTTTCTGAGTGAAAGTTGTATATTGCAGTAATTCCACCCTTAAGCCTTCAAAGCACAAAAAGTCAGGCTGTACGAGGATATCTATAATGAGAAATGTAGGACTGTAAACAAATAAAAAGATTCAGTTTGTTTAGTTGTTTATAGCATCTATACAACTGATAAGATTAACAATTAATTAATAAAACTAAATAATAAATTACAGTGAAAAATAGATGGAAATGCATGTTGCTTTCCATATCTTCTGCTTTTTTTGATTTCATTACACCTCTACACACAAAAATAACTCTTTTCTATAAGTATTTTTCTATTAATATTTTTTGCATTGGTGATAGAGATGTTGGCATTTTTCTCCTGGAAGATGAGATAGTACTGTCCACTAAATGGCTTCCTCCCTATATGGACTGTTGCCTTCTGAAAAGTGACCTGCTTAAAGAATCATAGAATCATAGAATCATAGAATAGATTGGGTTGGAAAAGACCTCCAAGATCATCAAGTCCAACCCCTGATCCAACTCCAATTACTATATCATGGCACTAAGGACCACATCCAATCTCTGCTTAAAAACCTCCAGGGATGGTGAATCCACCACCTCTCTGGGTAGGCTGTTCCAATGCTTGATTACCCTCTCTGTAAAGAATTTCTTCCTAACATCTAACCTAAACCTCCCCTGGCAGAGCTTGA